GGGTTTAGGGTTTATAGGGTCTAAAGTTCTATATCGTAGATACTTAGACCGACAGAGGGTTTAGGGTTTAGGGCTTTCGGGTATAAGCATTGGGCTTGGGCTTTTTAGGCTCCCCAGGCCACAGGCTGTGGTCTACAGGACTGACATCTGCAGCTTTCGACTCAAGCCACTTGGGCTTAGACCTCTTGTTTGTCTGCCAGGCACATTTTCGTTGCCTTCGATCTCGCCATGGCGCGTTCGAGCTTGGCGATGACCCTGGTTATGCTGATGCTTCCAGCAACGGCTCGCCGGAATAAGGACAGGGCTCCCAAGAGCAGTCTTTTATTAGGTCCAGGCAGACGCCAGTCAACGTCAGTGTCCTTTCAGCACCCCGAGGATGACACCTTCATCATGCAGGCCGGGATTTCAGAAGCTCCCGATCTAGAGGCGGAGCTTTCTTCCTGGCTCCGTGAAGAGGGGCTGAGCTATGCGGATGCTGGGTGGTGGGCACAGAAGGAGTCATGGTCTCAGTGTTGTTTTTTTGAAGCTCCCATAGGGAACATATAGACTACAGGTGGGTACCTTTGTACCTATCCCTAACAGAACACCAAGGTCGTGGTACCTCGAGACTTGTGGCGCCACGCTGCCGTATCTGAAGAAGTTGTACGAGGAGCTCACCGCATCCCGCGGCATTGCCCTCCCCCAGGGTGATGCCATTCCGAAGATGTTCCTGGGCCTGGAGTATCACAGTACTGGGGTTATGGCTAGGGGTTAGATCCTTAAGGCTTTCCTGACCCGCGGTCCTCCTTGCCCACTCTGCCAACCTACACCCAACTATGCCAAACCCTACAAAGCCAAAACCTAAGCCTGAAAGCCTAAACACCTAAACACCAAACCTTGAACCCTATAGCCCAGAGCCCTAAAGCCCTAAATTCTAAAGATCCAAGCCAGGTTTGACTACGCGAAGAAGGCACTCGACCCGGTCCAGCTCAGCAACATGTATTGGGTGCTCTATGACTGCAACCACGCCTATGGTCACGCCAAAGGGCTTTGCCAATACCCGAAGGAGGGGTTTAATAAAAGGGTTTCAATGCCCAGAAGTCACAGCAGCTTCGCATGAGCCCAAGACAGTTCTACTCAAAGTGATTCAGGCAACTGCTTTTCCGGTGGGTGTCTGAAGTCTCGGGGTTTGGAGCGTATGGTTTCTAAAGCTTAGGGTGTTGAATGGATGCTGGGCTTGAAGTTCTGTGCAGATCCTTAGTTCTCGCGCGGAAGTCTTGGGTTTCAGGTTTAGGGCTTAAGATCTTTGAAACGCCCAAGCCTAAACCCTGAGCCCAAAGCCCGAGAACAGCCTTAAAAGCCCTAGACCCTAAGCCCAACACCCGATAAACGCTTTAAAAGCCCTCCCGGCTCCCCCAAAACCCGATAAAAGCCTTTAGAAATGCCCTAAACCCGACGCCCAAAACCCTCTAACAGCCCTAAGAGCCCTGAACCCGACGCCCAAAACCCTCCAACAGCCGGCAAGAGCCCTAATCCTAAACCCTAAACCCTAAACCCTAAACCTTAAACCTCAAGGAGGCTCTGGAGCAAGCTCCCGCGCTTGTCGAGATGGGGACCTCCTCCAAAGAGCTTTTGAAGCTCCTTCGTAGCTGAGTGAGAGCGGTTTAGGGTCTAGGGTTTAGGGTTTAGGGTTTAGGGCTCTTTTGGTTCGGGCTTTAGGGTGGGTTTGGAGTTTAGGGTTTAGGGTTAGGGTTTTGTATGATCCCTTATAGAACTGAAAGTGTACACGTTTTGGGTGGGAGCATACGATCCCTTGTAGAACTGAGAGTGTACATTCATTTATTTGGGCTTATGTCCCAAACCCCAAACCCTCAACACTAAACGCCAACCCTAAAACCCTAAACCCCGCTTATGGATTCAGCGACTAAGGCTCTACAACTTCATGACCGATGACATTGAGCGTCCGAAGAAGGCATGGGCTTGTGGGTTTTAAGGTTGAGGGCCTTTGGGTCTAGGGTTTGGGGTTCAGAGTTTAGGGTTTGAGGTTGAGGGTTTGGGATTTAGGGTCAAAGGGGTTTTGTGATGTGGCGCAGGGCAGTGCTCTTTTTTCCCACACTGGAACTTCTATGGTCTTGTAGACCCCAAACCCCGTAAATGGGTAGTTCTCTAAATTGGGGTCCCTTTTGAGGTCCTTTTTATAAGGGTGCCGTGCTCTATTGGCGACCTAAAACAGGGACCCTAATTGCCCTATTAATGAACCCTGAACTCCCATATGTTCCTGTGAACCCCGAAACCCTAAGCCCTAATCTCTACACCCTAAACCCTAAACCCTAAACCCTACACCCTAAACCCTAAAACCTAAACCCTAAACCCTAAACCCTAAAACCTAAACCCTAAACCCTAAACCCTAAACCCTAAAAGTTCAAGGCAGCCTCTCCCGCAGGTGTTACTGTTTATACACCCAACGCGCAACAACCCAAATTCCCAGCTCTGACCACTCTTTCTTGTGACTCCTGTGCAAGGGGTAATGTAGGGGCCTGAATAATTACCATCTTTTTTTGTTTTGGGGGTTCCTTGTTATCATGAGAGTATAATAATATACCCCCCCAAAACCTATTCGAATTATTAAGGCCCCTACATTAGGTTTTCGCAAGGGGTCGGCTGTTGGGGGTTGACGTGTCGTGCTCAGCTGCGGATCAGTATGACCGTCCAGTAGAAGCTGCATGTCACCCTTCAGCCCAAAGCGTAAACTTGCGACTCTCTAAACCCAAAGCCCTAAACTTACAACCCTCAACCAAAACCCGAAACCCTCGAGAAACCGTTAAGGTCTCTAGAGATCTTGCCAGGAAGTGATGGAGTTTGCTGCCGCCGGCTGTGAAGCGGCCGCCTGCCCAGAAACTCCGGAGGAATAGGTGCAAACCTGGTGGTTTAGGGTTTAGCGTTTAGGGTTTGAGTAGCCTGTAACAGCTGTACCATGATGCGTTTTGTTCCTTAAAGCCTAAACCCTAACACCAATAGCGGATTCATGCTCCTTGGTTTCGTATCCTTTCGGAGCGCTTTTCTGGATAGTCCACAAGGGAATCACCAAAATTACCGATACTATTTTATACTATTTTGGGGGTTCCTTCTTATAGATGTAGTATACTGGGCCCTAAAAACCCCATTCTAATGATTAAGGCCCCTACATTAGGCGCACACTGGGGGGGGACCACCGCTCCATTCGGGTGGCAGCCGAGAGTTTAATGCATGAGTTTTGGGACGCGCCTTAGCGAAGGCACGACGGTCCGCAGACACCCTAAACCCTAAACCCTGAACCCTAAACCCTAAACCCTAAACCCTAAACCCTAAACCCTAAACCCAAGACAAGACAAGCCAAGTACTACTCCTGAAGGTCTCCTAGTTGGCTGGGGGTTAATGGGCTCCTAGTTGTACTCATGTTTTGTTATGTCCTCGAACCCCTTTCTCATCACTGAGGCTCACATATGGGGGTTTCCGAAAATAGGGGACCCTAATACAGTGCCCTAAATAGTAGGATCCTTATTATACGGACCCCAAAATAAGATACTCCTTGTCTCCGGACAGCCCCATATGAATCTTGGAGCTGATGCCCCAAATTAGGAAGTCGGTTCCGAAGCCCGACTCTCAGGGACCCAAAAGGGACATAAGCATGAGCATTTTTTGTAGGGATATCCCTACCTTATTGGGCTTCATTATAAAGGGTTTTTTTTTGTGGGATTTCCCTATCCTACTTTTTGCTTCTGTGCTTTTTTGGGGCCCCCAAGCTCGTTGCCCAGGACAGGTACTGGAGTGCTTACCAAGCCACGCATCACAAGCTGGTGGCCGTCGACGAGGTTCCGTCGGAACTCCGAAGGTTTTTCAGCCTTTCAGGGGTAAAGATTCTTATAAGGGTTCCTTCCTTTAAGGGCAAATTGAAACCCTAAACCCTAAAGCCTAAACCCTAAGGGCACCTTGAAAGGAGCCCTTATAGCAACCCCGTGTGGGTTGCCTCAAGGGTTCCTGTAAGGTGTGTTTTGCAGAACGGTTCCTCAGGGTTCCTCGAGACACGACGTCTGGAAAAGGAGGCCACAAGAAGCTGCGTTGGGGCGCTAGACATGCGGGGTTTCAAGTCTCAGGAGATCTCAAAATCCTAAACCCTAAACCCTAAACCTTGAGCCCTACACCCTAAAGCCTGAACCCAAAACCCTAAACCCTGAGCCCTACACCCTAAAGCCTGAACCCTAAACCCTGAGCCCTGCACTCTAAACCCGAAGGGATCCCACATGAGGGCTGTCGGGTTCCTCAACTCAGCAAAGCGCCTCAAGTAATATAGGGGCCTAAATAATTACCAATACAAGTTTTGGGGTTCCTTATTCTATTTGTAGCATAATACACTAAACCCGGATTTTTTGGGGGTTGAGCGCTTGCGATGCTCAGTCGGACTGTTTTTTCAGTTTTTTCGGCTTAACGTAGAAGCCTGAAGACTTAGTATGGCTTAGGGCTTTGGGGTTAGGGCTTAGGGGTTTGGGTTTAGGGCTTACGG